AATTGTTTGAAATGGTGCTTTTGTGAGTGGTTTTGAAAGTATTTTGAAAAGAGGCCTTTGTTTAGGCAATCTTTGTAATGATTCTTGTTTGAAGAATGTATACAAAGATGTATTGTCTTTTGAAAAATGTTTCAATGTTTGAAAGTTTGTTTTGGGAAATGTTTTGAAATTGTGTTGTGTGTTTTTGAAAATAGCAAGGATGGTTTGCAAGTTTGATCAAGTAACTAGGAGTTGTCTATCCTACTCAAAGATCTTTCCTACACATTTTTAACCCTTTGACATTGTTGTTTTACCATTGTATTTGGTAAACAACCTTGTGTTTGGATATATAACGGGATGGGCGCGGGTCATCGTATGACCATGATAGCAATTGTGCCAAGTATCTTACCAAGTTTTTTGAGGGACTAGATTATTTTTATATAGGCAACCAAGATAGCGTCATCGAGGGACTATGATCTTTTGTTTTGTTTTGTTTTTCCAAGATACCTAGCATGCATACCATGGCCATGTTTTTAAGGCAACAAGTGGATGAAACCCTAGGGGTGCTTGTGTGCATTGTGTTGTCATTTTTCATGCATTTTTGTCTTGTATTTAGTCATGCTATTTGTTTTGATTTTTGGTCTTTTGCATACAAATCCTAATCTTACTATCATGCATATTTGAAAGCAATAAAATGCGAAAAGTAAATCTACGACTATTACAACATTGATATGGGGAGGGGGATACAAGTTTGAATAAGGGGATATTTGCAAGAAAATAAAACCCTAAAACTATTACAACCATATTGAATTTATTTGCATAAATAAATAAATGGACAATTACTTAAATATGCAATTAAATATAAATATGCAAAAATGTTTTTGTATTATTTTTATGTATGTAAAAATAAATTTATTCATGTATTAAAAATAAAAATAAAAAATTATTTTTGGAAAGGGTAGAAACCCTAGTTTTTGTTTTAAGAAAAATATATATATTATATTATTTATTTATGTACAAGAAAATAAATAAAAATATATACAAAAGTGTTAAAAAATTAAAATGTGTGAGAAAATATTATTTAAGTGTATAATATAATAAAATAAAAATATGTAAGTATTTTAATTTTATTTACAAATTTATTTAAGAAAATAAAAGTATTTAACCTAATAAACTATTTTTTGTCATAAAAAATAATAAAAATAATAAAATAAAAATGTGAAAATTTAAGAAAATATTTTTGGTGATTTTTAATATTTAGAAAAAATAAATAAAAGTAAAAAATGTAAAAGAAAAAAAAATAAAAAAATAAACAAAAATAAAGAAATGGGCCAAGGGGGGTGCAAAAAGTAGGATGTGGGGGGTGTCAAAAGCAGGACAAAGCCAGGCCCAGCCCAAGTCACGCTTCATCCCTGTCCTCTGCCCAGAAACATGCGCGCGCCATGTTCAAATTGGTAACTCCTGCATACATGCTCAAAAACAAAATCTTGCAACATGAAAGTTATAGCTCATGATCACACGATTCTAACCATATAAAAACTTGATCTAACTCTCAAAGACCAGAGAGAATTTTATTGGCCCTAAATCTTGACCTAGTTTTTTCAGAAAGTTCAACTATTAAATACTCCTAGCTCAGTTAACATAAATGAATTCTATGCATATGTACAACTCAAGGGCAATGAGGACTATATTTTTGCTTCACAAACCTAAGCCTAATGATTCCTAAATAAGGAGATAGAAGTTTGAAATTTACCTGTTTTAGTCAAGCTCGAGTATGGCAATGTAGGGATTTTTGATGAGGCCTGAAGGTCGTGTTAGCTTGCCTGAAGTTCACTCAACCTTCCCCAATGCTTGGCTTGCTTTGAAGTGGCCTGAATCTCTTTGTAGAACTCAACCTGCAAAGCTTCAAAGTAAAAATGGTGAAGTGTGAAAACAAGGTTACAGTTGCTTGTGAATGGTCTGGACAGCTTAGGTGGATTGTTTAGAAGGTGTTTGAAGTGGTTTGGGACAAAATGCACGAGTGAATTTGGTGTTGACTCGTGATTTGCAGAACTTACCCTGTTTTTGGGCAGAAATGAAGTTTTGGTGTATTTGGGTGTTTGAGAACTTGCTAGCTCGTGTTTCTGGCTTGGTGTGATATGCTGAAATCGTTTGAAATATGTACAAGCTTTGGTTTTAACAGATACCAGAGTTGTGGACCTTTTGCACAATTGCTTATTTTTGAAGTAAAAGATGGAATTGACAATGCTATAGCCTGTACAGGCTAGCTCCAAGCATGCACATAGTTGGTTTACTTTTTATGATGTTTGTGGATGTGGTTTGCTGCAAAAGATTAAGTCCAATGCTCAAGACAAACAAAATTGCAAAAGTTGTGCTTTATGTAAATGGCACTGTTAACTTTTTTGCCAAAAATGGATTAAACCTTTGTATAATGCTTCATAGATCAGAACAAAGCCTTAATCCAATGTGTTTGCATTTAATTTATGAGTGTAGAAAGGATTAGAACCTGTAAACCAAGTACAAGCAAGGTTTGGACAAATTTTGCAACTTGTAGCATGGTGTAAAATACCTTGGACAAAAAGTGATGATTTTCCAATTTCAATCCTTTGATTCTCCCTAACCACAAATGATTTTGGAGAGTTCTTGGACATTTTAGAAAGCTTGTAACATGCTCTACAATCCATATTTTAAGTTAATTTTGATATTCCACTTGGAACTATATGAAAAGTTGCCATGAAGATAGGTCAAAATCCTGCCTAAACTAGGGCAAAATTTCACTAAGTTAAAAGTTTCATGGACCCTTATTCCAAAAATCATAACTTGAGATCCAAGCATCTTTTGGGAAAACTTTGTGAATCAAAGTTGTAGATTTTGTGGAGGACTACAACTTTCATGATGAAAGTTTTGTTTGAATCCAATTGCATCAAGGTGAAAAAGTTGGGCAAAGTTGGGGAAAAAAAGAAATTTTCATAACTTAGAAAATTTCTAAGTTATGAAAATTTTCCATTTTAAACCCTAATTTTCAAAATTAGGTTTCTTGGTGAACAAATTTCATGTTTTGACACATCTTGATGAAAAATGACCCTTGACACTTGATTTTGACCAAAAAGTCAAAGTTTGACTTTTCAGTGTATAGTTGATTTTTGATCAGTTGACTGGAAAATTCATCTGTCAATCCAATGCAAATGAGATATTTTGAACCTTGTGATTAGGTCAAGATGATGCCATTGAGTCCTTGAATCCATGATTGAACCCAATTTGCCACTGGCTAGGTGAAAAATCAGAAATTGCCCTTATATAGTCAAAACCCTAAAAATAACCATTTTGCCCTTTTGATGATCTGATCAAATTTCTTGAGGATTTGTGGTCCAAACTTGATCAAATGGTTCATATGAGTCTATAATGTTGATGTGGATAAAAAATAATGAGATTTGACTGTAAATTGGCCACGGTTGACTTTTTTCCCAATACAGTTGATTTTTAGGTCAACTGTCCAATTGACTGGGCAAAAATTTGATTCAAGGCTTGAAACTTGATATGAGCAATCTCAGGAGTCCAACATGAATTATGAAATTCATTTTGGGCATTGGAAGTCCAAAAGTCCTTGTGCAAACTCAAACCCTAATTTCAGGTCATCAGTGCAAGGAGATGTCTTCAGCTGAGCAAACCCTAATCTTGTCTGGAGTCCAAAGAGACTTGTGAGGGGAAATCTTGATAAAATGAGAGGGAAAATTTCGGGGTACAACACATACATCACCATGTTTAAACTATTTTGAATTATTTTGATCATATCTCTCTGTACAAGACGATTTAGCAAAAACTAAGGCCATCAATGAATTCGCAAGGACCGATTTAGGGGGGTAGAGTTCTTTTCACTCTCTAACGTGTGTTGTTTTACAAGTTGAAGAAACGAGCTCACCGGAGAATACAACCGGAGCTAGGGCTATGACGCCTCTCCAGTCCACTTTTATAATATATTTATTTGTTTCAGTTATGATACCAGATGAGAGCGTATCACCACTGGTCAAGACGTTAGGTTATGAACGTAGGGGCGTGGGTTTGATCCATGCCTTTTGTAATCTTTTTTTATTATTTTCCAAATTATGCAGGTTTCACATATTTTGTTCAACGCCTGTTTCCAAACACCAACGAGCGCCTCACTCAGTGAAAAACGATGTCGTGTGGAAGCTAGAGGGCGTGAGTTCAACACCCACCCCATACATTCCTTTTCCTTATTTTGCTAATCTAAATTCTTTCTTTTTCCTTTTCTAACCCTGTTTTTTTTTCAATTAATCAATCATCCAATTAACCTAATTTTTCTTAATAATCACAAATTAGGTTTAGGGTTTTATAATTAACATTTAATTTTCTTATTTTAATTAATTAACTTTTTTTCTTAAACATTAAAATCAATTAGAATTTAGGTTTATTTAATTACTATCATTTAAATTATTTTTCTATAAAAAATCACAAAAACATTTCTACATTTTTTTCTATTTTCCTTTTCTTATTTCTATTTAATTTTCATAGATCAAATGTATATGACGCATTCCCAATGTAATAGCATAAATTTCTTTTCTCGCATTTTTTTCCTATTAGATAATACATAAAGATGAAAAACATATTCCCGTCAAATGAAATTCGATTTTTAAGTTTGATTTTTATTGGGTTAATTCTTCGAATGTTAGAAAGAAGAAAAAAATAAAAGACTAAATACTATGCATATAATATCAAATTGACTTTGAATACATTAAGCAACACGATATCACCGTCCATTGAGAGAAACACGAGCATGTTCGAGAACCAACCACCATTTCCCAAACTCACTAAACCTCTACTCACACACACACTAGCCGTACACGAAAAACCCACCATCTATCCTCTCATCAACTCACCCCTTTTTCCCTCCAACTTACAATATTGCCACAACATTTCTTCTTCTCTAATCACCCCTTCTTTCTACTTCTACTTCTCCTTTCCAGCTTCTACTTCTATTTTAATCAGTCACACGCGCTTAAAACATGAACTCTCTTCAATTCCGTTACGCTCTCTCTCCTCACTCCACAAACCCCCGATTTTCTCGCACTTTCCCGCCTCTTTTTCATTTTCCAACAAACTCGCGCTTTCTCTCTTTCACAGAAATCAATGCAACTAGAAGAATAGCCAGAAGAAAACAAGGCTTCTCGATTCGCTGTTCCTCCAAAACCGATTCTCAGATTGAGAAAAACGATGAACGGCCTCCGTTTGATATCAACCTCGCCGTTATTCTTGCTGGTTTCGCCTTTGAAGCATACACAACTCCTCCTGTATGTTGTGCTTTCTGTTTATGGACTTTTTTCATCATTATAGATTACTGATTGAGTTTATTACTCTTAATATTGCTTTGTCTGATTTGAAGATTTGTAGCTTGTTAGTTGAACTAAAACAAGTTCATTCATCAGTAATGATTTCCGTCTGTATAGGTGTTACGTCGGTGATTGCGGTCCTCACGGTTGTAAATTAACTTCGAATAACAGTATCTTCTGATACGGTTTTGTCGCGGTAGTCACGGTTGTAAATTAACTTCGAATAACGGTATAGGAAAGGTATCTTCTGATACTGTTTTGTCGCGACCGTTTTCACCGACCTAATTTTAAAACCTTGGTTAAAATGGTAAAGTGATTGTTTGATTTTTTTTTTTTTGATTTTCTATTTTTGGAGGGAAAAAAAAAGCTGACCTGAAATTATTTGTGAATTAAGAAAGTTATTGTTCAATTTGGGAGATTAACTTGGAAATTTTAAAACAAAAATCAGTATGTTGGTGAGTTTTGGGTTTTATTAATAGTTATGTTTGTCCAAATGTTGAAAATGGTAATGAGGTGAGGTTTTGGAGGGAAAAAAAGCTAACCTGAAGTTATTAGTAAATGACTAAATGTGATTTAATTTGAGAAATTGAATAGAAAGAAAATAAATGATCATGATGTGACATTGGACCTGGTATTATTTTTTCTTTGTGGTGTCTTTGTTTTCCTTTTAATTCTTTGTTTTTCTTTTTCGTTGTAACATGTTTCAGGAAAACTTGGGTAGGCGTGAACTTGATGCAGCTGGTAGCAAGACAATCTATCTTTCTGAGTAAGTTAGAATTGCCTTTCATAGTTGCTCTTTGTCATTGTATTTAAATTATTCGAATGCATTTCTGGAAGAAACCAATGATGTCATTTGAATGTTGTTGTTATATTTAGTTTATGTTTAGATGAGCGGTGATATTGGCAAAATAAGGGTGTCATCATGGTTTTGTTGAATCTCCAAAGTGCAACTTCTACCTGCCAAATTGCGGCAGCTCAATGGTTCTGCCATTCTCACCGCAAATCCAAACACACACTTAATCTCATATGTATTTCCTTATCAAAATAATGGGCATGCTTGACAAGATCTTTTTGACAATATGCAGGGAATTTTTCCGTGAACTTTATGATGGACAACTTTTCATAAAGTTGAAAAAAGGATCTAGTTTCCCTGCCATGGATCCATCCATGGGTTGGTTCTCTTATATAAACTTATTTACTGTACTGGATAGTTCTCTAATGCAATGAGATGAATTGCACTTCTTGTTACTTAGCCAGTCAACTTAGTTATTTTCCCCTTCCATTAATAGCTAATTTACACAACTACTTGGCGTTCCTTTTAATTATGTTGTTTCTTTACATTTATTCTAGGGAACAAGTGATCCATATGTGGTCATACAGATGGATTCTCAGTCTGCTAAAAGCAATATCAAATGGGGGTAAGCTTTTGTAGTAATTTTTTTTGTCATTTCACTTCTTCAAAAGCTATCATCTAATGATTAAAATGAATTTTAATAGCTCTAAATAGTTTACAATCAATGTGATTGCAGAGTTTGTACAGTTTTATTGTTTTGGTTTTCTTTAGAAAACTATTTAGATTATTCTTGCATTTGCAAGCATTTTCTAGCTTGACATGCTATGAATTTTCATTTTCTTTTAAATTTGTGTATTAGCTAAGCTGAAATAAGGGAGATTTTGGTGGGACTATTGTTTTTAATTTTGTAAAATCCAGCATAACAAATCTCTTCGGTTTCTGCACTAAATCAATTGCAGTAGTGCTATACAGTGTTTAGAATTACCAATTTACCATCATAACTGCTAAGTACATTTGGTTCAATTATGTAAAATTAATTGATGACAGGACAAAAGAGCCAACGTGGAATGAGGAGTTCACTTTAAATTTTAAGCGGTCTTCAAACAAAGCTCTACAGGTTAAGAATCATAGTTTCTCTCCCTGTCTCTCTCATTTGTGCACCCACATAGACACACATTGGCATTGGCATGTCCGCACTTATGACAACTGCACATTAAAAAAATGATAAATGAGAAACTTTTTATATAAGTGTGGAAGTGTTATTGGAACTTTGATAACATTTAGTGGCATGATGTGATACATGAAAAATGTAGCAAGTAGTACTAGTAACTAATCATTGCTTTGTACTTATACTAAATAGATATACTTAACCCCTTTTCCACTTTCATTTATTTCTTGTACTCTTCTTTAGAAGTTAGAGTCTGATACAATTGAGCTTAATGTGCTTGAGGGAATGTTTGTTAAGATATGTATAGATTTAAATTATATTTTGTTGAGAAAATCTCAACAAGATTAGATTTTAGTTTATTCATCCCTATAGTTGAGGGATTTGATTATTTTTTCTGAATGTATTCTCTTAGTCATAAATAACAAAGGCTGAGAGTATTTCTCTCAAGCAATTCAAACCAGGCTCTGATGTCAAAGCCGAGGTTAATGTGCTTGAGGGAATGTTTATAAATTATAGTTGACATGAAGTAAGGTCGTTGTCTTATATCATACTCAAAAGATACATGTCAAGAAAATTTTATTAATGGATGGTACTTTCATATTCCTTAGGGATGAAGTAGATTAGATAAGAACGTTCAAGGCAAAGTTTAAATTGTGAGTCTAAGAAATGTTAAGATAATGGTCATGTAAGAGTAAGATTGTGATTTGTGGATGACATAAAAAACTTTCATGAACAACTCTCTAGGACACGCTTACTTCGTGTCTCCTTTTTCTTAAATATTGAATGTAGGTTAAATTACTCCCGCAGTTCATCAAATTATCTTATTGTACTAGTTTAGTCTTTTATGTTATGTTTTTCTTATAGGTCTTTTCCTACACCATTGAACTTTTTACCGACATCCATTACAAAAAAGCATGTGACCGCTATGGGTTTAGTGTGTATTAAATGAAGCTGACATGTCTAATTCAAGTAGGCTTTTAGTGAAAATTGATATATTTTTATTCAAAAACAAAAATCACTTGAAGAACCATAAGGCTTGTTTGGGAGTTTAGAGGGGGAAGGCTTTCGGGGGAGAGGAGTAGTGAGAAAAATAAATAAATTTTTCACTTTTTTTTGTGATAGTGTTTTTGTATAGAATGATAAATAAGTATTTATTATTAATATATTTTTTAATATTTAGAATATTATAACAACATAAATTGGATTTGAAGAATTTATCTAAATCCTTCAAAATTCTCGAAAATCCTCCTCCAATACAATTTTTGAATTCCCTCAATTTAGGCGTTTTGTATTATGAAGAAAATAAAATTCCCCCAAAACCTCTTCATCCAAATACCTCAATTCTTTCCACTTCATCCTTCCTATTTTTCAAAGCGCTCCCCTTGCCGTCCCTCCAATTTCCCAAATAAAACAAAGCCTAAGCCTCTTTAACTTCAAGCCCTCCATTTGCATAGCAATCGTATCAGATGCCAAGCAAAGCTTTAGACATCTCTCATATTGATCATTTGAATCCCAAGAGTCCACTAACATAAATATGTGGCTCTAATGAAGTTGTTCATGCTTTGGCACGGGTGACTCTATCTCTTGCTAGTTTTGAAAATTTTATCGATATTCCTACATGTATCCAACAATTTCTTAATAATGATATGATTAAAGTCTTTTCCTGGAAAAAAAATAATATGTGACTCTGATATGAATCTTCATGTTAAAACTTCTTCCCCGTCAGGAGTGCCATCTATTGACCTAGAAAGTTATTAAAGACTAGTTTCTAAGCTAAGTTATGTTATTGTCACTTGTCAAAATATTTCTTTTGCTGTTTTAGTGGCGAGTGAGCTCCTTTAGACTTGTTATGGTAATTGGGATGCAACTATTTGTATTGAGGGGCATGTTAATGTGGACTATTGTATGAAAATTGTGATCATTCCTAGGTGATTTTGGTTACCAGATGTTGATTGGGCTGATATTTTCTTTAATAGGTGTTCTACCTCAATATGTGTTTGTGTAGGGTAATCTCATCCCCTGAAAAATTAAGAAGCAAGCTGTTGCAGATAGAAGTAGTGTTGTGGATGAGTATTGTGCTAATGGCACTAGTCACATGTGAGGTTATCTAGATCAAGCAACTAATTCATGAGTGGATATTTACTGAGGCATCTCAAATGAAGTTGTTTCACAATGATTAGGATACTCTTCATATTGGTTCGAACCTGGTTTTCAATGAGAGAACCAAACATATTGAAGTGGATTGTCACCTCATTAGAGGAAAATTTCTATCTAGTTGTAGTGCCACTAGCTCTAGTGATATCTATCCGATTTTTCACTACATCTCTCAAGGCCCTCAGATTGATTGTAACAAGCTTGGTATAATGTATATTCTCCACCTTGAGGGGGATAGTTAGAGTTCTAGGTGTTGGGCCCATAAGCACTTTTTTGTATATGATGTATAGCTTAGTATGTATAATCTTGCAATAATTCATTTAGTATAAAAAAAATATTTTGTATCGCGTGCACTAGCATTTCAAAATCTGAAGCTATTAGATAAATAATATGAATGGTCTCACAAGCAATAGTTTAAGTGTTTGTTTTTCCTTATGGAACACCTACACAGGTATATCATCTGGGTTCAAAAAATAAAATTTCCAAAAAATATGTGCAAAAAATGAAAACAAAAGTTTGATGGTAAAATTAGAAGAAAAAATAATGTTAAATTTCTTACCGTTATCTTAGATTGCAGCTTGGGATGCAAACCTTGTAACCCCTCACAAACGAATTGGGAATGCAGTTGTTTTAAAATTCTTTTAGTTGAACCTGATACATTTTCTTGCAGACATGTTTGAATTTAATGATTCATTGAAATGGTAACTGCCGAAACAAGTCTTATAGAATCTACTTATGATGTTATTAAGAAAGCATAAAGTTAAGATGTCATATTAGACATTGGTATATGTATTTTGGTGAACATCATTATGTCTATGCCATTTGCTCTTCAAATACATTTTTAGCAGAAAAGACAAAATCATGAATAAAAAACGACTCTGCTGGGGATCGAACCCAGAATCTCTGGTTCCGTAGACCAGCGCCTTATCCATTGGGCCACAGAGTCCTCATGTTAATTAGTTTTTATTTAATTAATAAATTCTCTAGGGCTAATGTAAAATGACATGTGGTTGTTATTCAATTGACTTGAGATATATGCTATTCATTTTATCATTGAAATTGGCGATTAGGTATGCTTAATTTATTGTCAATTTGCTTATGTGAATGATATGAGGTTGCCTGCCTTTTGATGAGTCATAAGTAGTGACTTAATAAATTATGGATTTTAGGTTAAGTATAAGACCTTTGATGAAATTGATGATGAGAAAAAGTGGTGGAAGATACCTTTTGTTTCAGACTTTTTAAAGAAGAATGGTTTTGATTCTGCACTCAGAAAGGTTATTGGTTCCGATACAGTACAAGTCAGCCAGTTTGTGGAGTATGCATTTGGGCAGTTAAAGTCATTTAACAATGACAAGGGTCGGATGTCTGATAATGATAAATATGATATTGAAAGTTCCGAGCAATCGAATGAATCTGCTTTTATGTTGAAGACGCCTTCTCTTGAGGCTGGTAGTTCAGAATTCTCTAGTGAACAAAGAAACATGGAAGAGTTTCGCTCCTGTGACAGTGAAACTGGAAATGAACATGCTTTGGAACCATCACCACAAGCTAGTGAGGAAGAACTGTCAAATCAACGTTTTTGGATGAATTTTTCTAATGTTATCAATGCCAACATTGTTCAAAAGCTGGGTCTCTCTGTTCCGGAGAAATTAAAGTGGGACGGACTGGAGTTTCTAAACAAAATTGGCTCGCAATCCCAAGATATTCAGAAGATGTTTATATTCAATCTGGTCTTGCGATGCCTGGAGGCACTGAAGAACCAGACAATAAAACAAGTGGTCAGCCTGCCATTGCGGCAATCCAGGCTTCACTTCCAGAGGTCAAAAAGGCAAGTGAGATATTGATGAAGCAAACCGAATCAATTTTAGGAGGTTTAATTCTTTTGACAGCAACAGTTTCCAAAATGGAAGATGAAGGACGTTTTTTCTGAAGAGAAGAAAACCAAAGGCGATTCTTCCAAAGGAGTAGGCAGTGATGTTCAATATTCTACTAGTGAGAAGTCTCCTAGCCCAGAAAACGGATCATTGTTGAATGATAAACAAACTGAAGAAATGAGAGCACTTTTTTCAACTGCTGAAAGTGCTATGGAGGCTTGGACAATGCTGGCGACTTCACTAGGTCATCCTAGTTTCATTAAGTCTGAGTTCGAAAAGATATGTTTCTTGGATAATGCATCAACTGACACACAGGTGTTTTGTTACCTCCTCATTAATGAGTTCACTTATCTTTTATGAATGACAATTGGCACTGTATCATACCAAATTCCGAGTTTTACTGCCAAAGTATTTTTCCAGGCACTGCTTTCTATTTTCTTAATCATTAGAACTTTCAGGTTGCAGTTTGGCGTGATTATGTGCGAAGAAGGTTGGTGATTGCATTTAGGGGAACAGAACAGGTAGTTTCTATTCTTCTTGTTCTATTAGGCATAGTACAACTGGCCATCTGGTTTGCCTTAAAGATGCTTGTGCATTTTCATATTTCAGACAGCATGGAAGGACTTAGTAACGGATCTAATGCTTGTTCCAGCCGGGTAACATTCATTTCCAACCTTGTTACGACTTGTTCAGCTGTTTTTTTTTTTAATTGATAAAGAATCTTTCCACTTTGATATATTTTTGATCGCAAGATGTGATATTTGATTAGTGTATTCAAATTATAGTGTACTACTTGATTTTGTATGATATTTTTGATGACATGCTCCTCATAAGAATATTGTTAGATTCAGTGTTATTGCTAACTCAAATCCCATTTACAATTAATTACACAGAATATTTTACATGTGATTAATATTGTTGATTCAGTGTTATTGCTAACTCAAATCCCATTTGCAATTAATTACACAGAATATTTTACATGTGATTAATTACGCATGCATTACAACTTGAAAAATAATATAACCCATAGATAAATTAGAAGGGAATTATTTTTAAAAAGGAATGAGAAAAAACAAAATGCGATAGATGTGTATTATAGTGACAACAGCAAGACATTTACGTTGTTCATCTATTGAAAGAGCTTATCTACATTGTGAATAAGAGCAGTAATGATAAGTGTTACTCCCTCCATCCCTTATTATAAGACTAACATAACTTAGTGATATTAGGGTACAGTAGTTGTAACAATAAGTATGTGAAATGTGTGTCACTTTATCATATTATCCATACAATTAATGATATCATATAAGAGAAAAAGCAATTTTAGATTTTTCAATTGTAAAATAAATAGGAGTATTTTTGTAAAGAAATTATTAAGGCATATGAAAATTTGTAAAGAATCTTATATTATGGGACAAAGAAATATGAAAAGATAGTTTAATGATTAGAGCATGAAGAATCTTCTTATTTCACAATTTATCTTGTTAAGAGTCCCAAATCGGACAATATATGGCCTGAACATGAGTTTATAAGTGGGAGTAATCCTCACTTTACAAGACGGTTTTGTTGGGATTACTCCTCACTATATAAGTGGGAGTAATCCCAACTCACACATTCTAAGATGGTATCGGAGCCTCATCTAAGAAACAAATGATTGGCCATGGAAGCGATCTATTTACTACGACGTGTGATGAAGTTGTATTAGATGGATCAACAAGACTTGCATTTAATTTTCATTAATTTGGAAAAATTGTATGATAGTGTCTAGAGCGATTTTGTGGAAATTTCTAGAGAAGAAAAATGTCATGTTTGTATTCGAGCTATATTAAGGATGTGTATGTGGGGGTTTCGACTAGTGTGATGACATAGGGTGAGTGACAAACTTTTTTCCACAACAATAGGATTTCACCAAAGTTCAACCCTAAATCTTAATTTTTTTACTTTAATTTTGAATGTTCTTATCAAACACATCTAACAACTAGCATCGAGATGTATGCCTTTTGCAGGGATGATCATTCTGAGTTCACCCACAAATGGCATATTTATATTACCGGTCATAGTTTGGGTGGTGCATTGGCTACCTTGCTTGCCCTTGAACTTTCACCAAATCAATTAGTTAAGTAAGTTAATTACTCTTACCTAGTTGCATTTCTTCTGCTTATAATTTTTTACGGTCTCTTCTGATAGAATTTCAACAATTAGCATGTTTAGTGTAGAATCATTTGAGAAGAGAAATTTGTGAGACTTAGACAGATAGTTTACATTTACAAGGAAATTAATGATCATGCTACTACTTAAGTACATGGATGATATTACTTTGGTACATGGCTAATTATGTACAAGAATGTACTTTCTTCAACTCCCAATACTAACATTAATTCCAACATCATCATACAAGATCCTATATAGGATAATGCTGTCATAAGTTCAGTAATGCACCTTGTGGAATAACAGTTTTTGCCTAGATTGTCAATAAAGACGCAGTTGTGTGCATGCAGACTCGGGCAAAAAACGCATGACACTTATGTGCTTTGAGGTTTACAGAAATACTATTTATTTAAAATATACTATATTTGCTTACATAAATTACTTATGTTTTACAACAAAAAAAAAAACTCATGACTATTATGCACTTTGAGTTTTACGGTAAGATTATATTTAAAATATATTATGTTTGCATAATTTACTTTGTTTTTTTAAAAGTTGTTGATTTATAAATATCAACAATTTGTTTATATTAATACATAAATATAAATAAATGATGCTGTCAGAATTGGATCATTAATCAACAATTTACACCTATTTAACTTAACTAGTACATACCAGTTGAGCTACCCTACCCACTATGTTTGCATAAATTACGTATGTTTTACTTGTTTTTAGAGAAATAGAAGTCCATAAACCTTAGAGTTTGAAAGAAGCAAGGCTACATACAATTCAACAAAACTCAATAGAACTTTAATTACAATATCTAGTGACAAATTCAAAAGGAGTTTTGTATGTGCATTGATTTTTATGAAGGTTTAAACTTTTACTTTTATATACTAGTATGTGTGAAATGATTATTTTAACTAGTTATATAATTATATTATATTTTCTATGTATTTGAAATGAGGATGAGCCTTGCTTCCTTCCAGTGGGAGCTTTGTTGATAGGATCCAAAATGAGAAGACGAACTTAAAGAGAGAGACCGGGAGTGACTAAGTTTACTAGTGAGGTGTTTCAATAATTAGGAGGGTGTATAAGTAATATGATGTTTTTGTATGGATACATTCTCTTAATAATTTTAACAAAAATATTATTCAATAGTATTTAAATTCTCTGAATAATATCTTCTTAATAAATATATTATTCAATAATATCTCCTTAGTAATGCAATATTTTAATAGAGATATTCTCTTAATAATATCTTCTTAGCAAATATATTATTATAGAATATATCTATTATATATTATTAGTAAAATATTCTTATTACTTAGACACCCTACTAATTGTTTAAACACCTTAATAATTAACCTAGTCACTATTGGTCTCTTTTAAGTCCAACTTTTCATTTTGGGTCTTATCACTCACTCACTTAGTCACCTTTTATATATGTAATTATTTAATTTTAAATAACTACACGCTCCAAACTTGCTCGTTAATGTTTAACTATTTTCAAGACGTACATGGCCTGACAATTAATTTAACCTATTATTTATATTCATTGTTATGAAACATTATATATTAATGATAACTACTGAATACTTTATTGACTCGTTGATTTATTTTGTCTATCAGGCGAGGAGCAATTTCTATCACTATGTGTAATTTTGATTCTCCCAGTGTTGGTAACAAAAGATTTGCAGAGGTTTACAATGAGGTCAGAAAAGATTACACAATTAGTTTGTTGTTGCCTTTGTTGTCTCCTTGTTACAGGCTATATTAAATAAAGTATCCATGAGACTAAGCAACAAGTGAAACTCCTAATTGTAAACAGCAAATTTATACCCCCTGAATAGGAGATAGTATACTAGCACTAAATGTCAAACCCTTTTCAACAGCTGTGACAGGAAGATTACTGGGATCTATATTTAAAATTTAGCGTCTACTGTCAAGAAAGAACATGTAACTCGATTTATATTCCCTTTTCTCCATAATATAAAGTACTGTCAAATTATGTTGTTGTTCATTTAGTAGTGTCAATTTATATTTGTTGCCACAGGTCCGAAAGTTCTCTATGACGCCCACGGTCTGTTATTGGGCACGTTGTCTACCTTCCTTGTAGCAGTACAACACCCTAAGTTTATTGAGTTTAAGGGGGGTGGGTTTATTCCCACATCGCCTAGAAATCTAACCTTTGTAGTTCATATAAGGTTTAGATAGTCCTCACCTTACAAGACTAAGACAGAATTCTTAAGACAATTGCTGTCTTCTTAGTATGGCTCACATCCGACAATTCAGAGAATGATGTTCAACAACTAGTCCCCAAAAAACACAGCTGTTTCAAATTCTTATGAATTATTTTAAACAATCCTACCAAAGCACAAAGTGAATGGAGCATGTGGTGAAAAGTCATTTCAAACTCTGTAATATTTTATTTAGAGCCATTTTGTCTTCCAAACTGTCATATGTTAAGTAAAAGTAGAGTTGTTTGTTTCTCTGTTTATGTTTGTAAAACAGGCAACAGTTTTGCTCTTATATTTGCAGAAAGTTAAAGATAGCTGGCGAGTTGTGAATCATAGAGATATCATTCCTACAATACCCCGGTTAATGGGTTATTGTCATGTCAATCAACCTTTGTTTCTTGCCGCGGGAGTTCCAACAAATTCCCTAGTAAGCTTTAATTTAATGCTTCAAAAAAACTTGATTTTGAGCCAATGCTTCAAAATACTTGAATATAAAAATATACTCTGCACTTTGTCAGATGCTGTTGCCACAATTTTAGTTATACTATGAGCTAATGGGTTATTGTCATGTCAATTAACCTTTGTTTCTTGCCGCGGGAGTTCCAACAAATTCCCTAGTAAGCTCTAATTTAATGCTTCAAACAAAACTTGATTTTGAGCCAATGCTTCAAAATACTTGAATATAAAAATATACTCTGCACTTTGTCAGATGCTGTTGCCACAATTTTAGTTATACTATGAGCTAATGGGTTATTGTCATGTCAATTAACCTTTGTTTCTTGCCGCGGGAGTTCCAACAAATTCCCTAGTAAGCTCTAATTTAATGCTTCAAACAAAACTTGATTTTGAGCCAATGCTTCAAAATACTTGAATATAAAAATATACTCTGCACTTTGTCAGATGCTAGTTATACTATGAGCTAATGACCCATTGATATGGACTGCTTTCTATTTTTAAATAAAATTTATTTATTTTCAAAAAGGGCCCAACCGGGTTCGAACCGGTGACCTCTTGATCTGCAGTCAAATGCTCTACCACTGAGCTATGGACCCAATGGTGACATTCCTTTCCAATCAAGCTAATATAAACATTTTTGCCAAAATGTCTTTCCTTGATATTGCCCTATTTATTTATTGAGTAATCTTTGTTCGTAAAATCATTTGAATGTTTTTCATGATTACTTTCTTGTTGTTTACTACTAAATTATTTATGCTTTCTTAGGTGCCATTGTGCATAAAAGGTTGTATAATTAATTCACATTGTATGAAAGTTGTGTTTGAGATAAATGAGAGTAATTTCACGAGTCTTGATTAAACTGGACAGTTTTCGGTTCTTCATTCTTACCGATATATTAAATGCATGCCATCCAGGAGAATAAAGATATTTTAGGAGATGGCTACGAAGGTGATGTTCTTGGGGAATCCACACGAGATGTTATAGTCAACGAATTTGTATGTTTCTTTATTTTTCTGCTCATATATATGCATACCCACGCGCAGACACATAAATCTATATGTATGCATGCATTTTCATTTGACGAGCATATGACATGTTATGTCAGTATAAAATAAATGGATATTGGTGAAAAAATTTGCAAAAAATATGTTTCAAATATGTTTCATTATACAGGTTTGAGAATTTTGTTATAACTAAATTAGTGTTTTGAAAGCAAAGAGTAAAGTCCTAGAAAAAGCAATTTTAATGATTTGGAATGAAATAATATTAGTGCAGTTCTTGATCCGCACCTCGGAACTATAACCCGTGATTCTTTCCCTATTAAAGACTATAATCACTTTTGGGGTTTAACATGATAGACATTCGCTATATATTCTTAAATTATATTTTGACTTATCTTTCTTTAATGTTCACTATTCTCAACTTTGATCCATCCAGATAAAAGGTGAAATGGAACTTATTGAGAAGTTGTTACAAACTGAAATTAATATATTCCGCTCAATCAGAGATGGAAGTGCTTACATGCACCATATGGAGGATTTCTATTACATCACGTTACTAGAGGTATGATGCACACACTTTAAAAGCTTCAAAGGAAATTTCTATGTCCCGTTGTCATCATTCTTATCTGGGTTTATGGATAGCGTAGTTTACTTTGGTTCAGAAAAACATCTATCTCTAGAGAAGAGAGACATGAACATGAACGAACCAAAGTAGTTTAGATGTATTTTTTCATATAGAGGAGTTGATAATAGGAATCTTCTAAGAAAATGAAATATAAGTTTTTCATAGGTAGATTTTGAATAGAAACAAGTAATTTCTCTAGAACTAACAAAATTTATTTGAAAAATTTCTATTCTCTTTTGTTATTTTAAAACTTCTGGTGGTTTAAATTCAATTCTGATTGAGTTTTGGTGTATGATAAACTCCTTATCATAATTGAATACTAATTCATATGTTGTCAGTACTGAGTGTCAGTTTACTGTCGGGCTATGTTATCTCTCTTGGTCTTGAGTATGAAAAGATAAAGTGTATAGGATATATTTGAGGGTATTGCATGGTCTCTCCAACTCCATTTTCATCTTCGTCCCTGTTTTGGAGATCGAATAATACCAACTAAATTTTGAAGTGAATGTTAGTCCATCAAAGACAAGTGACATTCATTTTGTCCTAAATTTGTTCCTTTAATTATGGAAAAGAACATCAAAAGTTTCCTTTAGTTTTAAACCATGATTATGTTAATGGAGGGACTAAATTGATATCACTACTTTTTTTGAGACAAAATATCTGTTTTTTTTCTGACACGCTCCAATGATACGCACATTAAAATATGCACATTAAGCCACTTTCTATGATTTAAGACCAAATTGATATCAACTTTTAGATAATCGAGTTAATGTCGCTGTATTTGAAAGGGAATTTGACAAGCATTTACTCTTTTTGTGATGTGATTACATAATTACTACCATATCTTATAATTATGCCAGTTGAGACAAATAATACTGACTTCAGTTTTTGTTATTAATTTATGGCACTGCTTAATTAAATTATTCAGAATGTAAGATCAAATTATCAAGTTGCCTCAAGGTCACAAGATGTAAACACCAGCTTATCCTGAGCCAACAAGGGTTCATGGTTGCAAGGCCAGACAGCTGAGATCCATGTAAAAAATCTACATACAAACCGGAACAAGCTATGGAAAAAAGCATATATATTTCTTTAACATATCACCTTCAGCTAAATCTTTACTGGTATGGTTAGATCTATTCTGTTTGAGTGTTGTGAAAAATATTTGTTATCATTTTTTTATGATCAAATTGGGGGTAGATATAGTTGTTGATATTTGTAAATATATAATGTTAAGAATATTTGTATGTAGAATAGTTTCACATCGATTATATAGTGTAAGTAGTTGTAATCTCTCTATATATAATAAAGTCTCCGTAGTGCTTTCATAACACGTGGTTTAACCTAAATGTCTCTTAGTCTCTCTTAATTCAATATGGTATCTAGAGCCTTCTAAGAGGCAATTTTTCGCTGTGCTTTATCCGGTTGACCCACTGTCTTCTGGTGAAAAATTTTATTCTGCAAACTGTGTCATCATTCCGGTTTGCCTCACCTTTTTTTTTCCAGCGACCTCCGCCAAGCATAGTCCACGAATTTTTTTTTTCTTTTCGGAGGACTACTGTTCACCGCCGCCGTACTGTTCAAGTAAAAAAAAATTTCTCTTTCGAAAAATCGCCTTCCTCCTCCGATTCCAGATTCGTTCTCGATTTTCGTTTTCGACTCACTGAAAGTCGTACTCTTGTTCAAACAGTCCCGGTTGTTGTGTTTTAAGCATGGGATATGCTGATTCTATCTCGTTTACTAATGTTTCGCTTATCCCATGTGAAAAACTAACCGGATCAGCCAACTATAACATATGGGCTCTTGCATCTCTTGGCAACAATCAAAATTGCCTTCGAGGAGGGTCATCCAACTCCAAACCTCGTCCTAAGTGTGACCATTGTAATCGACTTGGACATACTATCGATCGTTGCTGGAAGTTGCATGACAAACCTCCACGGCAGGTAAATGCAACTCAAATTGATAACCCGGACACTATGCAGACTTCACCTTCTCTTCAGAATCCTACGCCAAGCTACGAGAATTTTCTCAGGTGGTGTCAGACTAACCAGACCTCTGGTTCCACGACTTCGATTGCACGCACAGGTAATTCATCTGTTTGCGTCTCCCAATCATCTCCTCTTGGTCCTTGGGTCCTCGACTCTGGTGCGTCTGATCATGTTATCGGTAATAAAAATCTTTTATCTTCCCTTTCTATCTCTGATTTCTTACCGAGTATAACTGTCGCAAATGGTTCTCAAACCCGATCCCAAGAGATCAGTACTGTTCAAATTCTACCATCTCTCTTTGTTACTTCTGTCTTATATGTACTTAATTGCCCATTTAATCTATTGTGAGTCAGTCGTTTAACTCGTTCTTTTAATTGTTCTATCACTTTTACTAACAGTGATGTGATTCTGCAGGATCGAAGTTCGGGACAGACGATTGGCGTTGGATGTGAGTCTCAATGCCTCTACTACTTCTCTACGTCATCTACCACATGCTCCACCACAAATTCTCCACTCATTATACATGCGCAGTTAGGTCATCCAAGTCTTCCCAAACTACAAAAGTTGGTGCCCAGTTTATCTAAATTATCCACTTTACAGTGTGAGTCTTGTCAATTAGGGAAACATACTCGTAGTCACTTTCCTGATCGAGTAAATAAACGGGCTGCGTCTCCTTTTATTTTAGTTTACTCTGATGTTCGGGGTTCATCGCGTATTGTGTCTACTTTTGAGTCTAGGTATTTTGTAACATTTATTGATGATTTTTCACGTTGTACGTGGCTATTTTTAATGAAAAACAAATTTGAATTATTTTCTATTTTTGAATAATTTTATCGAGAAATAAGAACCCAATTTGGTTTGTTCATTCGTACCTTAAGAAGTGACAATGCACGTGAATATTTATCCCAACAATTTCAAACTTTTATGTCATCCAATGGACCTCTTGTAGCTTGTTAGTTGAACTAAAACAACTTCATTAATCAGTAATGATTTCCGTCTGTATAGGTGTTACGTCGGTGATTGCGGTCGTCACGGTTGTAAATTAACTTCGAATAACGGTATAGGAAAGGTATCTTCTGATACTGTTTTGTCGCGACCGTTTTCACCGACCTAATTTTAAAACCTTGGTTAAAATGGTAAAGTAACTGTTTGAATTTTTTTTTGGTTTTCTATTTTTGGAGGGGAAAAAATAAGCTGACCTGAAATTATTTGTGAATTAAGAATGTTATTGTTTAATTTGGGAGATTAACTTGGAAATTTTAAAACAAAAATCAGTATGTTGGTGAGTTTTGAGTTTTATTAATAGTTATGTTTGTCCAAATGTTGAAAATGGTAATGAGGTGAAGTTTTGGAGGGAAAAAAAGCTAACCTGAACTTATTAGTATATGACTAAATGTGATTTAATTTGAGAGATTGAATAGAATGAAAATAAATGATCATGATGTGACATTGGACCTAGTATTATTTTTTCTCTGTGGTGTCTTTGTTTTCTTTTTAATTCTTTGTTTTTCTTTTTCGTTGTAACATGTTTCAGGAAAACTTGGGTAGGCGTGAAGTTGATGCAGCTGGTAGCAAGACAATCTATCTTTCTGAGTAAGTTAGAATTGCCTTTCATAGTTGCTCTTACTTAGTGCTGTTCTCTTTCATTGTATTTAAATTATTCGAATGCATTTCTGGAAGAACCCAATGATGTCATTTGATCATTGCTTTGTACTTATACTAAATAGATATACTTAACCCCTTTTCCACTTTCATCTATTTCTTGTACTCTTCTTTAGAAGTTAGAGTCTGATACAATTGAGCTTAATGTGCTTGAGGGAATGTTTGTTAAGATATGTATAGATTTAAATTATATTTTGTTGAGAAAATCTCTCAACAAGATTAAATTTATTAGTTTATTCATCCCTATAGTTGAGGGATTTGATTATTGATTTGAATGTATTCTCTTAGTCATAAATAACAAAGGCCGAGAGTATTTCCCTCAAGCAATTCAAACCAGGCTCTGATGTCAAAGTTGAGGTTAATGTGCTTGAGGAAATGTTTATAAATTATAGTTGACATGAAGTAAGGTCGTTGTCTTATATCATACTCAAAAGATACATGTCAAGAAAATTTTATTAATGGATGGTACTTTCATATTCCTTAGGGATGAAGTAGATCAGATAAGAACATTCAAGGCAAAGTTTAAATTGTGAGTCTAAGAAATGTTATGATAATGGTCATGTAAGAGTAAGATTGTGATTTGTGGATGACATAAGAAACTTTCATGAACAATTCTCTAGGACACGCTTACTTCGTGTCTCCTTTTTCTTAAATATTGAATGTAGGTTAAATTACTCCCGCAGTCCATCAAATTATCTTATTGTACTAGTTTAGTCTTTTATGTTATTTTTTTCTTATAGGTCTTTTCCTACACCATTGAACTTTTTACTGACACCCATTACAAAAAAGCATGTGACCGCTATGGGTTTAATGTGTATTAAATGAAGCTAACATGTCTAATTCAAGTAGGCTTTTAGTGAAAATTGATATATTTTTATTCAAAAACAAAAATCACTTGAAGAACCATAAGGCTTGTTTGGGAGTTTAGAGGGAGAAGGCTTTCGGGGGAGAGGAGTAGTGAGAAAAATAAATAAGTTTTTCACTTTTTTTTTGTGATAGTGTTTTTGTATAGAATGATAAATAAGTATTTATTATTAATATATTTTTTAATATTTAGAATATTATAACAACATAAATTGGATTTGAAGAATTTATCTAAATCCTTCAAAATTCTCGAAAATCCTCCTCGAATACAATTTTTGAGTTCCCTCAAATTAGGCGTTTTGTATTATGATGAAAATAAAATTCCCCCAAAACCCCTTCATCCAAATACCTCAATTCTTTCCACTTCATCCTTCCTATTTTTCAAAGCACTCCCCTTGCCGTTACTCCAAATTCCCAAATAAAACAAAGCCTAAGCCTCTTTAACTTCAAGCCCTCCATTTGCATAGCAATTGTATCTGATGCCAAGCAAAGCTTTAGACATCTCTCATATTGATCATTTGAATCCCAAGAGTTCACTAACATAAATATGCGGCTCTAATGAAGTTGTTCATGCTTTGGCACGGGTGACTCTATCTCTTGCTAGTTTTGAAAATTTTATCGATATTCCAACATGTATCCAACAATTTCTTAATAATGATATGATTAAAGTCTGTAAAAAAAAAAAATATGTGACTCTGATATGAATCTTCATGTTAAAACTTCTTCCCGTCAGGAGTGCCATCTATTGACCTAGAAAGTTATTAAAGACTAGTTTCTAAGCTAAGTTATCTTATTGTCACTTGTCAAAATATTTCTTTTGCTGTTTTAGTGGCGAGTGAGCTCCTTTAGACTTGTTATCGTAATTGGGATGCAACTATTTGTATTTAGGGGCATGTTAATGTGGATTATTGTATGAAAATTGTGATCATTCCTAGGTGATTTTGGTTACCATGATGTTGATTGGACTGATATTTTCTCTAATAGGTGTTCTACCTCAATATGTGTTTGTGTAGGGTAATCTCATCCCCTGTAAAATTAAGAAGCAAGCTATTGCAGATAGAAGTAGTGTTGTGGATGAGTATTGTGCTATTGGCACTAGTCACATGTGAGGTTATCTAGATCAAGCAACTAATTCATGAGTGGATATTTACTGAGGCATCTCAAATGAAGTTGTTTCACAATGATTAGGATGCTCTTCATATTGATTCGAACCTGGTTTTGAATGAGAGAACCAAACATATTGAAGTGGATTGTCACCTCATTAGATGAAAATTTCTAACTAGTTGTAGTGCCACTAGCTCTAGTGATATCTATCCGATTTTTCACCACGTCTCTCAAGGCCCTCAGATTGATTGTAACAAGCTTGGTATAATCTATATTCTCCACCTTGAGGGGTATAGTTAGAGTTCTAAGTGTTGGGCCCATAAGCACTTTTTTGTATATGATGTATAGCTTAGCATGTATAATCTTGCAATAATTCGTTTAGTATAAAAAGAATATTTTGTATCGCGTGCACTAGCATTTCAAAATCTGAAGCTATTAGATAAATAATATGACTGGTTTCACAAGCAATAATTTAAGTGCTTGTTTTTCCTTATGGAACACCTACACAGAGGTATATCATCTGGGTTCAAAAAATAAAAATTTCCAAAAAATATGTGCAAAAAATGAAAACAAAAGTTTGATGGTAAAATTAGAAGAAAAAATAATGTTAAATTTCTTACCGTTGACAGTTTATCTTAGGTTGCAGCTTGGGATGCAAACCTTGTAACCCCTCACAAACGAATGGGGAATGCAGTTGTTGATTTGCAATGGCTTTGTGACGGTAAGGACCTGAAAATCTTGCAAGATATTGAAATATTCTTCTGTTTAAAATTTCTTTTAGTTGAACCCTGATACATTTTCTTGCAGACATGTTTGAATTTAACGATTCATTGAAATGGTAACTGCCGAAACAAGTCTTATAGAATCTACTTATGATGTTATTTAGAAAACATAAAGTTAAGATGTCATATTAGACTTCTGACTACATATTCTTTTACCATATAATGTTTTTTTTCTTTCTTGTAGGAGATACACATGAGATACTGGTGGAGTTGGAAGGAATGGGTGGTGGTGGAGAGGTTTGGCTGGAGGTATGTTTCTTTCAGTGGAAAAGAATAAAAACAAACCACCAGTACAAGTTCTTAATATGGGAAAAAAATTATTGGTATATGTATTTTGGTGAACATCATTATATCTATGCCATTTGTTCTTCAAATACATTTTTAGCAGACAAAATCATGAATGAAAAACGACTCTGCTGGGGATCGAACCCAGAATCTCTGGTTTCGTAGACCAGCGCCTTATCCATTGGGCCACAGAGTCCTCATGTTAATTATTTTTTATTTAATTAATAAATTCTCTAGGGCTAATGTAAAATGACATGTGGTTGTTATTCAATTGACTTGAGATATATGCTATTCATTTTATCATTGAAATTGGCGATTAGGTATGCTTAATTTATTGTCAATATGCTTATGTGAATGATATGAGGTTGCCTGCCTTTTGATGAGTCATAAGTAGTGACTTAATAAATTATGGATTTTAGGTTAAGTATAAGACCTTTGATGAAATTGATGATGAGAAAAAGTGGTGGAAGATACCTTTTGTTTCAGACTTTATAAAGAAGAATGGTTTTGATTCTGCAGTCAGAAAGGTTATTGGTTCCGATACAGTACAAGTCAGCCAATTTGTGGAGTATGCATTTGGGCAGTTAAAGTCATTTAACAATGACAAGGGTCGGATGTCTGATAATGATAAATATGATATTGAAAGTTCCGAGCAATCGAATGAATCTGCTTTTATGTTGAAGACGCTTTCTCTTGAGGCTGGTAGTTCAGAATTCTCTAGTGAACAAAGAAACATGGAAGAGTTTCGCTCCTGTGACAGTGAAACTGGAAATGAACATGCTTTGGAACCATCACCACAAGCTAGTGAGGAAGAACTGTCAAATCAACGTTTTTGGATGAATTTTTCTAATGTTATCAATGCCAACATTGTTCAAAAGCTGCGTCTCTCTGTTCCGGAGAAATTAAAGTGGGACGGACTGGAGTTTCTAAACAAAATTGGCTCGCAATCCCAAGATATTCAGAAGATGTTTATATTCAATCTGGTCTTGCGATGCCTGGAGGCACTGAAGAACCAGACAATAAAACAAGTGGTCAGCCTGCCATTGCGGCAATCCAGGCTTCACTTCCAGAGGTCAAAAAGGCAAGTGAGATATTGATGAAGCAAACCGAATCAATTTTAGGAGGTTTAATTCTTTTGACAGCAACAGTTTCCAAAATGGAAGATGAAGGACGTTTTTTCTGAAGAGAAGAAAACCAAAGGCGACTCTTCCAAAGGAGTAGGCAGTGATGTTCAATATTCTACTAGTGAGAAGTCTCCTAGCCCAGAAAACGGATCATTGTTGAATGATAAACAAACTGAAGAAATGAGAGCACTTTTTTCAACTGCTGAAAGTGCTATGGAGGCTTGGACAATGCTGGCGACTTCACTAGGTCATCCTAGTTTCATTAAGTCTGAGTTCGAAAAGATATGTTTCTTGGATAATGCATCAACTGACACACAGGTGTTTTGTTACCTCCTCATTAATGAGTTCACTTATCTTTTATGAATGACAATTGGCACTGTATCATACCAAATTCCGAGTTTTACTGCCAAAGTATTTTTCCAGGCACTGCTTTCTATTTTCTTAATCATTAGAACTTTCAGGTTGCAGTTTGGCGTGATTCTGTGCGAAGAAGGTTAGTGATTGCATTTAGGGGAACAGAACAGGTAGTTTCTATTCTTCTTGTTCTATTAGGCATAGTACAACTGGCCATCTGGTTTGCCTTAAAGATGCTTGTGCATTTTCATATTTCAGACAGCATGGAAGGACTTAGTAACGGATCTAATGCTTGTTCCAGCCGGGTAACATTCATTTCCATCCTTGTTGCGACTTGTTCAGCTGTTTGTTTTTTATATTGTTAAAGAATCTTTCCACTTTGATATATTTTTGATCGCAAGATGTGATATTTGATTAGTGTATTCAAATTATAGTGTACTACTTGATTTTGTATGATATTTTTGATGACATGCTCCTCATAAGAATATTGTTAGATTCAGTGTTATTGCTAACTCAAATCCCATTTACAATTAATTACACAGAATATTTTACATGTGATTAATATTGTTGATTCAGTGTTATTGCTAACTCAAATCCCATTTGCAATTAATTACACAGAATATTTTACATGTGATTAATTACGCATGCATTACAACTTAGTGATATTAGGTAAAGACTAACATAACTTAGTGATATTAGGGTACAGTAGTTGTAACAATAAGTATGTAAAATTTGTGTTACTTTTTCATATTATCCATACAATTAATGATATCATAAAAGAGAAAAAGCAATTTTAGATTTTTCAATTGTAAAATAAATAGGAGTATTTTTGTAAAGAAATTATTAAGGTATATGAAATTTTTTAAAGAATGTTATATTATGGGACAAAGAAATATGAAAAGATAGTTTAATGATTAGAGCATGAAGAATCTTCTTATTTCACAATTTATCTATTGAAGATATGGGATCTTACCAAATTCTAATAGGCTAGACATTGGAGAAGAGGATCGGAGCTATAATTACTATTGTTGGATTCAAAAACACGAAGTAAAAGAAGTGTTGAGAAGAATGAGTAATAGCAAGATGGTTGAGCCAGGCAACATACTTGTTGAAGTGTGGGAAAGTCATAGATATAGAGATGTTGAGTGACTCACCTAAATTTTTAATGAAATTATGAGATTAAAGTGAATGTCGAAGGAATGGAGAAGAAGCACTTTAATTCTGATCTATACGAAGAAGAGGGATATACAAAATTGCTTAAATTATAAGAATTAAATTTATGAGTTAGCATGAAATGATGGAAAAAAATGATTGAACGGATGCTAAGAAAAGAGACACAAGTTATGATAACCAATTTGATTTTATGCCTAGATGATTGACCATGGAAGCGATCTATTTACTACGACGTGCGATGAAGTGGTATTAGATGGATCAACAAGACTTGCATTTAATTTTCATTGATTTGGAAAAATCGTATGATAGAGTGTCTAGAGCGATTTTGTGGAAAATTCTAGAGAAGAAAAAGGTTATGATTGTTTGTATCCGAGCTATATTAAGGATGTGTATGTGGGGGTTTCGATTAGTGTGATGACATAGGGTGAGTGACAAACTTTTATCCACAACAATAGGATTTCACCAAGGTTCAACCCTAAATCTTAATTTTTTTACTTTAATTTTGAATGCTCTTAATAATTTTAATAAAAATATTATTCAATAGTATTTAAATTCTCTGAATAATATCTTCTTAATAAATATACTATTCAATAATATCTCCTTAGTAATACAATATTTTAATAGAGATATTCTCTTAATAATATGTTCTTAGCAAAGATATTATTCATAGAATATCTCTATTATATATTATTAGTAAAATATTCTTATGACTTAGACACCCTACTAATTGTTTAAACACGTTAATCCTAGTCACTATTGGTCTCTTTAAGTCCACCTTTTCATTTTGGGTCTTATCACTCACTCACTTAGTCACCTTTATATATGTAATTATTTAATTTTAAATAACTACACGCTCCAAACTTGCTCGTTAATGTTTAATTATTTTCAAGACGTACATGGCCTGACAATTAATTTAATCTATTATTTATATTCATTGTTATGAAACATTATATATTAATGATAGCTACTGTATACTTTATTGACTCAATGATTTATTTTGTCTATCAGGCGAGGAGCAATTTCTATCACTATGTATAATTTTGGTTCTCCCAGGGTTGGTAACCAAAGATTTGCAGAGGTTTACAATGAGGTCAGAAAAGGTTACACAATTAGTTCGTTGTTGCCGTTGTTGTCTCCTTGTTACCGGCTATATTAAATACATTATCCATGAGACTAAGCAACAAGTGAAACTCCTAATTGTAAACAGCAAATTTATACCCCCTGAATAGGAGATAGTATACTAGCACTAAATGTCAAACCCTTTTCAACAGCTGTGACAGGAAGATTACTGGGATCTATATTTATAATTTAGCGTCTACTGTCAAGAAAGAACATGTAACTCAATTTATATTCCCTTTTCTCCATAATATAAAGTACTGTCAAACAGAGTTGTTAATAGCGCCCGTAGCGGCCGCTATAGCGGCGCTCCAGAGCGGAGCGGAGGCCTGCCGCGCGCGCACAAGGGTGCGGTGGCGGAGAGAAGATAGCGGGCGCTATCGCCGCTATCCCGGGTCGCGGATAGCGGGCGCCTCCCGGGCGGAGCGGTTTGGCCTGGTTGTTTTTTTAAAATTTTTTTTTTGACAAAATTGCTGTTTTACCCCTCTTTTAAAATACTTTTTAAAACAGATTTGCATTATATTTTCTTTCCTTCGTTTCACTTTCTCACTTTCTTCTTCTGCCCTAATTTTTGTGCCCTTCTTCCACCGTTCTAGTTCCAGCAAGGCAGCAACATACAACTGCAGTCCGCATCTTCTCTACCGTTCCAGGCTTCCAGCAAGGCAGCAACAGCACCATACACCGTTCCAGCAAGTACATCTTCTCCAATCTCCACCGTTCCATCTTCTTCTACTTTTGTCTCACATCTCCGCCGTTCGCAAGCCCTCTTTTATAGATTATTATAATATAATTATTAGTATATAAAAGGTTATCCCGCTATCCGGGATCCCGCTATTCCCACTTTTCCCATTCCCGGGGGTCGGCCGCTCCGCTCCGCTATCCGGGATTAATAACTCTGCTGTCAAATTATGTTGTTGTTATTTTAGTAGTGTCAATTTATATTTGTTGCCACATGTCCGAAAGTTCTCTATGACGCCCACGGTCTGTTATTCGGCACGTTGTCTACCTTCGTTGTAGCAGTACAACACCTTAAGTTTATTGAGTTTAAGGGGGGTGGGTTTATTCCCACGTTGCCTAGAAATCTAACCTTTGTAGTTCATATAAGGTTTAGATAGTCCTCACCTTACAAGACTAAGACAGAATTCTTAAGACAATTGCCGTCTTCTTAGTATGGCTCACATCCGACAATTCAGAGAATGATGTTCAACAACTAGTCCCAAAAAAACACAGCTGTTTCAAATTCTTATGAATTATTTTAAACAATCCTACCAAAGCACAAAGTGAATGGAGCATGTGGTGAAAAGTCATTTCAAACACTGTAATATTTTATTTAGAGCCATTTTATCTTCCAAACTGTCATATGTTAAGTAAAAGTAGAGTTGTTTGTAAAACAGGTAACAGTTTTGCTCTTATATTTGCAGAAAGTTAAAGATAGCTGGCGAGTTGTGAATCATAGAGATATCATTCCTACAATACCCCGGTTAATGGGTTATTGTCATGTCAATCAACCTTTGTTTCTTGCTGCGGGAGTTCCAACAATTTCCCAAGTAAGTTTTAATCTAATGCGTCAAACACAACTTGATTGTAAGTTTTAATCTAATGCGTCAAACACAACTTGATTTTGAGCCAATGCTTCAAAATACTTAAATATAAAAATATACTCAGCACTTTGTCAGGTCTTCTTTTTGCAATTTTAGTTAGACTAACTAATTAATGATTGAAGAGGGAATTTTAGTTAGACTAACTAATTAATGATTGAAGAGGGGTTCCCCGTTTCTGTGCAAAATAACTTATAGAAACAACTAGTCATTTAAGAGGTTACTTTTTGATCTGCAGTCAAATGCTCTACCACTGAGCTAATGACCCATTGATATGGACTGCTTACTATTTTTAAATAAAATTATTTATTTTCAAAAAGGGCCCAACCGGGTTCGAACCGGTGACCTCTTGATCTGCAGTCAAATGCTCTACCACTGAGCTATGGACCCAATGGTGACATTCCTGTGCAATCAAGCTAATATAAACATTTTTGCCAAAATGTCTTTCCTTGATATTGCCCTATTTATTTATTGAGTAATATTTGTTCGTAAAATCATTTGAATGTTTTTCATGATTACTTTCTTAGGTGCCATTGTGCATAAAAGGTTGTATAATTAATTCACACTGTACGAAAGTTGTGTTTGAGATAAATGAGAGTAAGTTCATGAGTCTTGATTAGACTAGATAGTTTCCAGTTCTTCATTCTTACCGATATATCAAATGCATGCTATCCAGGAGAATACAGATATTTTAGGAGATGGTTATGAAGGTGATGTTCTTGGGGAATCCACACCCGATATTATAGTCAACGAATTTGTGTGTTTCTTTATTTTTCTGCTCATATATATGCATATCCACGCGCAGACACAAAAATCTATATGTATGCATGCATTTTCATTTCACGAGCATATGACATGTTATGTCAGTATAAAATAAATGGATATTGGTGAAAAAATTTGCAAAAAATATGTTTTAATATACAGGTTTGAAAATTTTGTTATAACTAAATTAGTGTTTTGAAAGCAAAGAGTAAAGTCCTAGAAAAAGCAATTTTAATGATTTGGAATGAAATAATATTAGTGAAATTCTTGATCCGCACCTCGGAACTATAACCCGTGATTCTTTTCCTATTATAGACTATAATCACTTTTGGGGTTTAACATGATAGACATTCGCTATATATTCTTAAATTATATTTTGACTTATCTTTCTTTAATGTTCACTATTCTCAACTTTGATCCATCCAGATAAAAGGTGAAATGGAACTTATTGAGAAGTTGTTACAAACTGAAATTAATATATTCCGCTCAATCAAAGATGGAAGTGCTTACATGCAGCATATGGAGGATTTCTATTACATCACGTTACTAGAGGTATGATGCACACACTTTAAAAGCTTCAAAGGAAATTTCTACGTTCCGTTATCATCATTCTTATCTGGGTTTATGGATAGCGTAGTTTACTTTGGTTCAGAAAAACATATGTCTCTAGAGAAGAGAGACATGAACGAACCAAAGTAGTTTAGATGGATTTTTTCATATAGAGGAGTTGATAATAGGAATCTTCTAAGAAAATGAAATATAAGTTATCATAGGTAGATTTTGAATAGAAACAAGTAATTTCTCTAGGACTAACAATTTATTTGAAAAATTTCTATTCTCTTTTGTTATTTTAAAACTTCTGGTGGTTTAAATTCAATTCTGATTGAGTTTTTGTGTATGATAAACTCCTTATCATAATTGAATACTAATTCATATGTTGTCAGTACCGTGTGTCAATTTACTGTTGGGCTATGTTATCCTTCTTGGACTGAGTATGAAAAGATAAAGTGTATAGGATATATTTGAAGAAGAGAGGGTATTTATCATAATTGAATACTAATTCATATGTTGTCAGTACCGTGTGTCAGTTTACTGTTGGGCTATGTTATCCCTCTTGCACTTTGAGAATGAAAAGATAAAGTGTATAGGATATATTTGAAGAGAGGGTATTGCATGGTCTCTCCAACTCCATTTTCATCTTCGTCCCTGTTTTGGAGATCGAATAATACCAACTAAATTTTGAAGTGAATGTTAGTCCCATCAAAGACAAGTGACATTCATTTTGTCCTAAATTTGTTCCTTTAATTATGGAAAAGAACATCAAAAGTTTCCTTTAGTTTTAAACCATGATTATGTTAATGGAGGGATTAAATTGATATCACTACTTTTTTTGAGACAAAATGTCTATTTTTTTTCCTGACACGCTCCAATGATACACATTTAAAATATGCACATTAAGCCACTTTCTATGATTTAAGACCAAATTGATATCAACTTTTAGATGATCAAGTTAATATCACTGTATTTGAAAGGGAATTTGACAAGCATTTACTCTTTTTGTGATGTGATTATGACAAATCAAATCTAAGCATCTCCTCTGTATATCTCTAGTTTTCTTTCTAAAACTAGCACACTGTTGCAAAGGAACTCTCACCATTGATTTTCTATTTTCATTTTGTTGTTTCAAATGATCTTTTCATTGTAATTTTTCCATAACTTGTAAGGAAGAATTAAAGAGATCAAAGGTTGAGGTTCATTATTTTCCTTGTTGTAAAATACGATATCTTTGAAACAAAATATAACAGGATTCTTCAAGGCAAAGAACTCACAAGGATAGAAAAGATGGAAAAACACGAAAAACAACAAGAATTGATTATTAACTGTTATTCTTTATTTTCTCTTCAAACATGATTACAAATACACAAGAATAACAAATAACTCTCTCACTCTAAATTAAAATTTGCAGTATGCAATGATGAGAGAGTAGTATACTATTTATAATAAACAGATCCAATTTGAAATACTAACAACCTTATCATTTCGACACCCATATATTAGAACACACTTCGACTATAATATGTAGGTCTTCGACACCAGCATGTGAACATATTTTGATGATATGTATAAATCTTGTCTTCTTTAGATATTTCTGCACTTCGATCAACATCACCAATTTTCTTAAAAGTCATTTCAGCTTGATTGAAAATTACATCTCGATACACCTCTTGTGACCTGGTCTAGGCACCATAGCCTATAAGTTTTGACTCCTTCAGAGTATTTTAGGAACATGTATTTCAAAATTCTAAGTTCGACCTTATCTTGTCTAAAGTCAAATACTCTCAGTTTGTCAAAATTTGTTGGATGTTTCGACCAAACTTCTTCAGGTGTCTTCATATCTAATGTAATCGTAGGACATATGTTTATTAGATGTTATTTTTTAAACAACCTCAGTCCAAAACATTTTTTTTAACCCAACACTAATCAACATGCATATAACTCTCTAAAATAATTTTTAATTAAATCTTTCAGGCAAATCATTTTGCTGTGGAGTATTTATCAGTTCTGTCTCTTGCAATATTAGAGGCAACACAAAAGTTGTCGAAAGTCTCATTGTAAAATTCAAGATCATTGTCGGTTCTTAATCTCTTGACCTTTCTGCCAGTTTGATTTTCGATCAAAGTCTTTCAATTTTTGAAATTCTCAAAAGTTGAATCCTTAGTCTTTTGGATAAATATCCATAACTTTCTGAAATAATCATCTACTATAGATAGAAAATATATTGCTTCTGCGTGTGATGGACAACTTGCAGGCTCCCAAAGGTTAGCATGAATGTAATCAAGGGATCTATGTGTTCTTTGTTTGTTTTTGTTGAATTTCACTCTACAAGATTTTTCAAGTACACAGGATTCACAAAACTTCAGTTTTTCGACTTTGTCTCCATTAAGTAAATTTTATTTCCCTAATTCGATCAGACCCCTTTCACTGACATGATCCAATTTCATGTGTTAAATTTCTGTCTTCGACAAAGGTTTTGTGGATGAAATATTTGTCAGATCAATTACAACTCCAGCCTCAAGGGTATACAAGCCTTGCTTCTTCACGTCTCTCAAGATTTTCTTCGACCCCTTCATGACTTTTAGGATACTTTTTTCTCTTTGGAAAACATATCCTTTCTCGTCGAATTCACTAAGACAAATCAGATTTCTCTTCAAATCAGGTACATATCTGATTTCAGTCAACAATTTTATTGACTCATCACGAAGTTGAATCTCACAGATCCAACACCTGCAATCTTGTAGGTTTTGTTGTTTCTCAGCAATAAAGATCCACCATCTTGATCACATAGCTCTTCGAACAAGTTTTTATTTGGAGTTATGCGTCAAGTGCACTGACGAGTTGCTGCTCGAAATCACAAGAACATCAAATGAGTAAAAATAATCTTGAACAATAGCTGCATTGGCATTATCCTTACCTCTATGATCTTTCAGGCGTTCAGGAGACACTTTTCTTATGTGACCTAATGATAGCATAAAATATCATATCTTTCACCACTGTAAGACTTCTGCTGAATTTTACATTTCTTCTTGTCGAACTTACCATCTTTTCGCAAGAATTTTCCCTTAACGGTCAAATCTTCACCAATCGTCGAAGATTTATGCTCCTTTTGTTCGTTCAAGTTTTTAAAATACAAGACTGATTGAACTTCTTAAAAGGTTAAGGACTCTCTTCCATACAAGAGAGTGTCTTTGAAGTGAGTATGGGCAAAATGCACAATAACAACGCTTGATCTTCACCGTCGATCTTCTCATCAGTATTTTCAAAATCAAGAATCAGCTTTCGCAATATATACAACTGCTCAACCAATACTTTGTCTTCAATCATCTTGAATGAATACAATGCTTATTTTAGGTAGAGTTGATTTATCTGCGATTTGTAGTGACTTCTTTCTTTTGATTTGTTATCCTTAATTTTTGCCTGACTGTTCTTGTTTTGAGATTACAGTCAGCGGGATGCCCCCGTTTTCTTAAGTCTCCTTTGTAGGTTTTGACTTAGTGGGCTTTTCTTTTTGAGAGATAATGACTGCCTATGTGGTAGGGAACCGTCGCTGTCTTTTGATCCCAGAGGAATGTTTCTTGACGTCATTCGTTGTATTATGAGATGAGAGTTTGCGGCTTAATGCGTGTTTGAATTAACTGAGAGACTACCATGCCCCAGGTTTTGATTAAAGGTTTCAATTTGTATACAGAAAACTTCTACTTCTTTGGCTCGAAGGGGTTGACTAGGGATTATCTTCCTTATAACTCCAGTGTTTAGGATTTTAAAGAACGCTTGTACATCGTCAGCAAGGTCTGTCCAAAAGCATATTGTATGAGATTATGGCATTGTTTTCGTCATCCTCCCTCTAAAGGCTTGTAACTTTTAGCAAGAGTTAAATGTCATAAAGAGAGTAAAAAACATATTTTAAATGTAATGAAAATAAGTGGGTCAAATCAAGACAAACATATGCAATGCATTAATAAAACAAAGTTTGACATTAATAGATAATTGTTTGAATAACAAAAGAGATTGCAACTTGAAAATTCAAATAAACAAAAGTTTCTTTGTCTGAACTTGTCACTTTAGATGGTGAGCCTTTGAAGGATGACAGAAGAACTCAGTCTAACCATCTTGTATGAACTCCAACATTCCTTCGTCGATCAGGTTTTGAATCTTATACTTCAACGCCCAACAATCATTTGTATTATGCCCAGGGCTATCAAAATGATCAGCACACCTTGCCTCCGGATTGTAGTTAGGAAAGGAAGTCTTCGGGCTCGGATGATGGTTTATCACCGTAATCAGATTCATCCTCAACGTGTGTTGTAATGCTTGTGACAATGGCATGTTGGTTTGGGTGAAGTGCCTTTGGCAAAAGAATTCAGTCTGGTCATCTTGTGTGAACTCCAGCGTTCCTTCTTCAATCAGGTCTTGAATTTTATTTCTTAATGTCCAACAGCTATTGGTGTCATGTCCATGACTGTTGGAGTGGTACGCACATCTTGCATTTGAATTGTACCTCGGAGAGGCTGTGTTGGGATTCTGAGGGGGGTCTTTCAACGTAACCAACTTGGCCTCCAACATGTGTTGCAGTGCTTGAGACAATGACATGTTGATTTTGGAAAGCGTCTTCCAGCTGTATTCTGCTTACGCTGATTGCTCTATTGTTGTTGGACCCGTGAGGTAGTAACAAATTGGGGAGGTCTTCCGGCTTCTTGTCTCATGGGAGGCTGAGCAGTGACCTGATTTCCAATCCTGATTGTTTGCCCTATACAGTTGCAACCGTCTTGATGAAGTTGGTTGACAAGAACTTTCAGCTCTTCTTGTCCTTGAGCCAGATTTTGGATAAGAGCCATCTGGCCTACCAGCTGCCCCATCATTTGGACCTTCATTATGGCTATCTCAGTTTGTAGCCGTTCCAACTGGTCATCTCTGTCGTCCCCAGGGTTTCCCATGATCATGCCCCTGGTGAGGAGCGCCAAGAACATCTCTTGAAGTTGAGCGTTTTGAGCCTGGATGTC